TATTATTACAGTGACTACAAAATATTTTAGTAATCAAATAAACTACCAGAATAATAATATTAAAGAAAATAGTAAAAATAGTATCTGCATAAGAAACTGTCAACTTTTGATGTAAGAGAACAGCAGATTTTCTTTTTAGATGGCATTTGTTTGAGGCATGTAAGTAGGGGGCAAAGCAGAAATTTAATTCAAAGGGAAATTTTACTAGTTTCACTTTCGATATATTAACATAATCAGGATAATGCTTGAGGAATGCATTGTACTCTTGCTATTTGATAAGGTTTGAAGAAAATGAGGTCAAACTATGAGCATGCCTCCCCCAGAGCAAGGTACAGAATTAAGGATTGCAAGTCCCTGGGGGCCCCCCTCCCCTTTGGGTAAGTCCCCCAGACCTCATCTCATTAATAAATCAAAAAAAAAAAAAAAAAATTAGCCGGGTGTGGTAGCGTGCACCTGTAGTTCCAGAAACTTGGAAGGCTGAGGCGAGGTTGCGGTGGCCGGGAGCGGCCCCTGCACTCCAGTTTGGGTGAATGAGTGAGACTCCAACTCAAAAAAAAAAAAAAAAATGAAAAACTAGCTAGGTGTGGTGGTGGTGGTGTGAGTCTGCAGTCCTAGCTACTCGGGAGACCGAGGCAGGAGGACTGCTCAAGTTCAGCAGTTCAAGGATGCTGCCGCAAGCTATCATCACTGAACGCACTCCAGCCTGGGACAGAGCGAGACCTTGTCTCTCAAGAAAAAAAGAACAGAGGTTTAGGTGGGGGGTGATGCAGATTTTCTATACCTCAGAGTCAAAGATCCCCAGTTTTTCAACAAGTCAAACGCCGGGTACTGCAATGAAGGGCGGGCAAACGACAAGCCACAACCATGGGGCCAGGAAGCCAACGGAGGATCCACCCAAGGGCCACGGAGGTCCGCAGGAATTGTAGGACCACTGGAAACACCTGGCCGAACACTCACCGGGCTCTCGGTGGCGGGGCTCTCCTCCTGGTGGGGCGGCCCCCTCTCCAGGGGCACGGCCAGCACAGCGCGCAGCAGCAACAGCAGCAGCAGGAAAAGGGTTCCACGGAGCCCAGGGGGATGCATGGCGGCGTGGTCTGTGGGCTGCGGAGAGGTGATGATGGATGTTTGTCCCAAGCCGCCTTCTTCCCAGACCCAGGAGTCTGGGCCTCCAGCTTCGTTAGCCGAGACCCAGGATTGGCCTCCAGCCTTCCCTTCCTCCGACACAGGAGTCCCGGTTTCCAACACCCTCCTCCCTCGCACTCAGGAATCCAGGATCTCGGCCTCCCTCCCCCCCTCAAGAGTCCAGACCCCAGCCTCCCATTTTCCCAGGACCTAGACAGAAGTACTGGCACCCAGCTCATCCTCCTCCGGGACCTAGTTTTCCAGCCCTCTAGTCCCCATGCTCCCCAGGACCCAGGAGCTTGGAAGCCCGGGGCCTCACCTCGGCTTCACCGCGGAGGGCGTCTTCCCGGACGGGCAAGGACCTCCGGCGCGTTCCTGGTGATTTCCCCTAGGCCACACCCACTTTCCCACAGAGGCCCCGCCCCCAGACGTCTGATTGGGCCACGATGGCCCTGGGCCCTTTCGTTTACGTCATCGGCCCCGCCCCTTGCCGAAGTCGCTCATTTTTTTTCTCGAAAGCCTCTCCTCCTTTTTCGGAAGCTCAAGTCTCTTGACGTCGCATTTTCTTGCCTTTCCTACAACTCCCTGCAGGCCGGGGGGAAAAATGAGTCGACTTCCGCAGGGATCGTGGCCCCTTTGCCTCATGGGAGTTGTAGTTTTTCCATTTATTTGCCGCCCCAGGGAGTGCCTGCAAGTTACAGCTCGGTAGCAATTGCTTAGCCTACCTTATTCGTTTCTTGCAAGGGCGATGTGTAGAGCGAGACTGCAAGGTGGCCTCTCTCGGGTCTCTCTCTTTTTTTGAGTTGGAGTCTCACTCTGTCGCCCAGACTGGAGTGCAGTGGCCGCTCCCGGTCACTGCAGCCTCGACCCACTGGGCACCGGCCATCCTTCCGCCTCAGCCTTCCGAGTAGCCGGAATTGCAGGCACGCGCTACCATGCCCGGCTGATTTTTTTGATTTATTGTAGAGATGAGGTCTTGCTGCCCAGGAGGGTCTCGAACCCTCGGGCTCAGGCAATCCACTCACCTCAGCCTCCCAGAACGCGGGATTACAGGCTGAGCCACCAAGCCTGGCTTCTTGGGTCTCTTTAAGGAACATCCGCATGCCATTCCATTTCAGAACCTCTGGAGCAGGGTTACCTGGCTACAGTGGTGGCAGAGGTCATTGCTTTATTGGAAGTGGAGCCAGGAGGGAGAGGATTAGGGCAGTTCCCTGTGGGGATCACCACTCCGAAGATCCTGTCTACTTACCAGAGACTCAGGTAGGTATTAGGCCCCCAGCTTCCAAAGAGAGAGTCAGGTATGTTTAGAAATTGACCAGAGAGGCAAGGCACTGAAGCATCGCTGTGAGGAGCCTTGCCAGGTGGAGAGGAGGAGACAGAATCTCTAAGATCCCAGGCAGGTGGGGACTGGTGGTCTGGGCCACTGGGGATTGGGTGTTTGGGACCCACAGTCCTGAGTTATTATTATTATCTTTTGAGTTGGAGTCTCACTCTGTCACCCAGGCTGAAGTACAGTGGCATGCTCACGGCCACTGCATCCTCGACCTGCTGGACTTAGGCGATCCTTCTGCCTCAGCCTTCCAGGAATCTGGAACTAAGGGCACATGCCTCCAAGCCAGATTAATTATTTTTTCATTTATTGTAGAGATGAGGTCTCATCAAGTTGCCCAGGCTGGTCTTGAACCCCTGGGCTCAGGTAATCCTCTCACCTCTGCCTCTCAAAGTGCTGAGATTACAGGCATGAGCCACCACGCCCAGCAGTCTCGAGTTTGTTTGTTTGTTTGTTTTTTGTTTTAGTTGGAGTCTCTGTTGCCTAGGCTGGAGTGCAGTGGCACACTCATGGCCACCACAGCCTCGACCTGCTGGGCTCAGGTGATCCTTCTACCTCAGCCTTCCAAGTAGCTGGAACTACAGGCACATGCCACCACACCCGGCTAATTTTTTGATTTATTGTAGAGATGAGGTCTTGCCAATTTTCCCAGGCGGGTCTTGAACCCATGAGCTCAGGCAATTCTATCACCTCAGCCTCTCAAAGTGCTGGGATTATAGGCATGAGCTACCGCATCTGGCCAAGTCCTGGGTTCTGATACTTGGGTGCAGGATAGAGTTAGGGATTTGGGGGAGAGAGAAATGGCCATCTAGGCTGCTGATAGTTGAGGAAAGCTAGAAACAGGCTACTGGGTCCCAACAGGAGTAGATGCCAGGATTTGGGATGCCTAGGTCCAGGAGAAAATGTAAAGCTTAGAAACAGGTGTTAGCGGACAGAGTTCATTAAGATGTTGGTTCTGGGCCCTGACTCCTTATTCTCGCTTCTCTAGAATGTCTCAGGAGAATAACACATGGAAGAAAAAGTGAGTGGAGAAATAGATGGGTGAGGGTGAAGGTGGAAGGTCACCCCACCCCCCAGCTCTGGCTGCATAACCATGTTTGCAGGTTCAGCACAATTAGTCATGCAGGAAGAGACTGGAGACCTGGAATCCTGTGTCCTAAAGGGAGGGGGCTAAGATGAAGGCTTCTGGGTCTGAAAGAGGAGGGTCTGGGGGCCCCAGACTCCTGCATCCTGAGACAGGAGGGGCCTGGCATCTCTGACTGGGGCTTCTGAATGGGCCAGTGCTGGAGAAAGAGCTGCAGAACTGGTGGAGTGGGCTCAGGTCCTGCACCCTCTATGATGTCACAAGTGTCCAGAACCCAAGTTGAGCAGGGGGGAGGGAGGTGTCTTGGGCAACTGAGATGCCTTGCTTGATATCCCCAAGAACTTGCATCTCTCTCAGGGTCCTGAGGTATGAGCAAGCCACCACAAGGCTTCAGATGTTGGAAGAGAAGGTAATATGCTCAGGAATCTGGCCACCTTCACTCTGCCATCTTCGGTATCTCCCAGGAGCCCCCTCCCAGGACTTGCCTTGGGACTCCTGGCCCACCTTGACTCTCTCTGGATCTCAAGTTCTCCAACTGGGAAACGGGAATATAGGAATTCGAAATCCTAAGGAAACACACAAACCCTCGTGATGAAACACTAGAATTTCTAAGGAACAAAAGCGTCCAAGAGGGCAGGACTCCTAGGTCGTGGAGGAGGCGGGAGCTGTGCCAGGACTCTTGGATCTAAGGGAGGAGGAGCTCGCGGACTGAGGGCATGGATACCTGGGCCCCAGTGGCGGAAAGGGTTTCACGAACTCTGCCACCGATGCTGGCTCTTGCCCCGGGCCCCACCTCAGCCCTATCTTCCCGTCCACCTCTCTCGCCCCCACCACAGTGGCTGCTGACTGAGAAGAAGCAACGGCAAAAGCGCCAAGAGTTCCTCATGGTTCAGGACAACCCTGACGATTCCCGGCGGTGCCGGCGGCTGGGGCGGCGGCGGAGGGAGGAGCTCCTTCCGGCCGACCCCAGTGAGAGGAGGCTTGGGGGCTCGCCGGGGGGGCGTCGGTCTGGAGGGAGGGGTCTGTGGGAAGTCCATGGGTGGTGCCTGGTGGGGTCGGGGTGGAGCCTGGCGGGGGGACTTGGAAGTGAAAGGGGGGCGGGCCCAGCGGGGAAAAGCTTGAGAGGAGGCTCGGTGGGGGGCGCCAGGCCCAGACCGGTGGGGGGTCTTGGAGGCGGGCGGGAGAGGGAGAGCGAGGAGGCGGGGCATTGGACAACTTGCAGGGAGCGATGGGCGGGGAGAATCCGGTGATGGGGCTGAGCAGAGTGCGGAGGTGGAGCCTGGAAAAGCAGGGAACCAACCAGAGATTTCGGGGGCGGGGTCTAGGAATCCGGGGCGGAGCTTAATTAAGTGACGTCCTTAAGACGATTGGAGGGCCTGGTTGTTAAGGCACGGAGCCCGTAAGGCATTCACCGCCTGATCTTTGTCTATTTGAGTCGTAGGGTGGAGTTTGGGTTCTGGGTGAATCTCCAGGGCTTGGATGGTCATCGAGTTGGGGGCGATTTATCGGAGTAGATCCTATTAATGTGCCTCACCCCACCTCTTCTCAGGCCCTGGGAACCCTTTCCTCAAGGAGAATGTGCCAGAGGCACACCTGTGCTCTAGTGCCCACGGTGCCCCGAGTACTGTAAGCTGTGCTGGAGATGACAATAGTGAGCGAAGACCTGTCGTGTCGTCGCCAGAAGAGGGTAGCTTCGAGTTCTTGGACTGCCTATACCCCAGAATTCCGCTCCCCACTAGAACCCAAGATTCTGGGACCTCAGTCCTTGCTCTCAAAGGGACTCAAGAGTTCAGGACCCCACCGCCACCTTCCTCACACTGGGAAGTTTGGGTCCCGAGCCTCTACCTCCCCCAGCACCCAAGGATCCGAGTCTCCACTCCTTCCTTCCCCAGTTCTCAGGAATCGTGCCCTCCAATCCCTTCCTATCTTGGTTCCCAGACAGTTCCAATCTGGAGTTGGAAGAAGTCTTCTTGGAGGATGTTTCAGTCCAGTTACTACCTTATGAAAGGCCTCCAGTAATTCAACACCAATGTTGGCTAACCCTCCAAGAATTTGGTAATTCAAGGGGCGTCGGGGCGAAATCTGGTCCTCTGGTCCACGCTGCAAATCCTCCTCCTTTTTTGGTAACAGCTTTGTTGAGGCATAACTCACATGCCGTACAGTTCACCCGTGTAAAGCCTACAGTTCTATGATTTTTAGTGTACAGTTGTCCCTCGGTATTGGCAGGGGATTGGTTCCAGGACCCCCCCCAGATACCAAGATCTGCGAATGCTTAAGTTCCTTATATAAAGTGTAGTCATATTTGCATATAATTTACAAACATCCTCCCATATACGTAAAACCGTCTCTAGGTGACTTAGAATACCTAATACAATGTAAATGCTATGTAAATAGTTGTCATATTGTTTTTTTAAATTTCTGTTATTTTTATTATCATGTTATTTTTTATTTTCTTTTCCAAATATTTTCAGTCAGTGGTTGGTCGAATCCACAGATGCAGAAGCAGCAGGTGTGACAGCCGCGGATACCGAGGACTGACTGTATTTACAGAATTGTGCAACCATCATCACAATCAGTTTTAGCATTTTTTTTTACCAGTCACGAAAGAAATCGTGCACCATTTAGGGGTCGCCTCACTTCCATTTCGTCCCAGCCCTTGGCAACCACTAATCTATGTTCTTTTTATATTCACCTACTCTAGAAATTTCATGTACGTGGAACCATACAATATGTTGCTCTTTTGTGTCTGGCATCTTTCATTTAACAAGTCTATTTTTATTTTCATTGTGGAGGTGACATCTTGCCAAGTTACCCTTGAACCTGTGGGCTCTGGCAATCCGCTCACCTCGGCCTCCCAAAGTGCTGGGATTACGGGCTGAGCCACCGAACCTGGCCACTTAACAAGTATATAAGGTTCATCTGTGTTGTAGTATTTGTAGTATTATCAGCATTTAATTCTTTTAAATTCCCTTATTATATTGTTGTAGCATTTCCTTTTCTTCTCATGACGTGACCAATTGTGACAATGACAGAACTTTCTTTTTTTTTTTGAGCCAGAGTCTCACTCTGTTGCCCAGGC